CCATCTGATTGTCCTCCTCTGCACTCTGCAGGGATGGCAAATTCGTACCAACGACGAACACGAGTAGCGACGACGTGGCGACAACTGCCGGTGACTGAACGCCTGGGAACGCCAAACATACAGACACCGCCGCTCTCCATGGCCCCTCCTGGGGCGCATTCTGACCAGAACTTCGAACAGAATCCAGCCGTGGCGACGAGGGCGCTCCAGGACGAGCAGCGGTGTCGGTATCCGCTCCTCCCCTGACGGGCCCAGTCCTCACTGCCCCAGACCCCGCCACACCCTCCGAAATTACCCGAGACGTGACGAACCTCTTCTCCAAGGGAGGCACTTTGCATGAACGCTCCATACAGAAGAACACATTGCCAAATATGCATGATCTGCGCTGCCTCATCTCCGCCGTGCCCCCCAGGAGCCCACGAAAAATAGCCACAGTTGCTCAGTTGGTGGCCTCCCAGAGAGCCGCAGGATCTCGGCAAGCTCCGCGTGGCCCCCGACTCCGTTGTGCCTCCCAGGAGCCCAAGAAAGTTGCGACAACTGCGTAGTTCGCAGCCACCTAGGAAGCTGCGAGGTCTCGGGTATGCCCCCCAAGAGCCCACGAAAGTGGCGACAGCTGCGAAGTTCGCAGCCACGTAAGTAGCTGCGACGTCTCGGGAACTCCCTACTCCGCCGTGCCTCGCAGCAGGAGCCCACGAAATTGGCAACAGTCTCGGGTACTCCCCTACTTTGCAGTGCATTCATGGAGCCCACGGGAGTGGCGACAATGGCGCAGTTCGCAGCCTCACGGGGAGATGCGGGGTCTCGGGTACCCTCCTTCTCCGCCGTGCATCCCGGGAGCCCACGAAGTTGGCGACAGCTGAATAGTTCGCAGCCACGTAGGGAGCTGCGAGGTCTCGGGTTACTCACCTGCTCCGCCGTGCGCCGCAGGAGCCCACGAAAGTGGCGACAGCTGCGCAGTTCGCAGCCTCCCAGGGAGCTGCGAGGTCTCGGGTACTCCCTTACTCCGCCGTGTGGGTGCCATGGGCGAGGACCGGAGAATGCTCGGACCAGAGAAGGTGAGTGGCCTCGCCTTCGCCAGGGGGCTCCCGCGCAGATCCGAGACATCGGCGCGGACCGTCAAAAGTTTGTGTTTCTCCACTTTTCCCTTCTTCGACGGCACGAAGCCCCCGAGCTCGGCGCTGGGACACGGGCCGCCAACCTCTCGCCCACTGCCCCAGGACCACCGGCTCTTCATCCTGAGTCGTTTTGTTGGCGACCCCGAGGCCCTGTCAGGGCTCCGAGAGCCCGAGAGCGACGAAAAACCTCCGCCTCGATTTTTTCGAAACGCCGGATATCTGGGAAGACACGGGGCGCCCTGCATAGGTGGCAACATTCGAAGCCTACCCCCACCAACCGTTGATTATCCTGAAGCGTTGATCGGCGGGGGTAGGGTTCTGTTGTCGCCGCGTGTTCGACGAGTTACAAATCCTGCCCCCGCCGCCCATGGAGTTGCCTGAAGCGTTAATCAGCGAGGGTGGGATTCGGATTTCGCCAAGTGTTATGAGAACTCCGAAACCTACCCCCGCCGCCCATGGAGTTGCCTGAAGCGTTGATCGGCGAGGGTAGGCCTCGGATTTTGCCGCCGACTCTTGCCCTCCAGGATGGGTGGGATGGCCCCGCACTCTTGCCCTCGCAGGGTTAGTGTGGCAGGGCCCCGCTTGGCGCCCCAGGATGGGTGGGCAGGATCCCTCTTGCTCCCCCAGGAAGCCGCCGACTGCAGGAAGCCGCCGAGCTCGCGAGGGCGCCGCCCGAGCCCCTGCGGGCCCACGGCAGAGAGCGCGCCGAGGAGGCGTGGCTTGGCGGGGCACGGCGGCTCCGCCGCCGCGCGCGGGCGGGCTCGATGGGGGGGGGGGGCAATGCAATGCCGAGGGGCGGCAAGCAGCTGGGGTGCGGAGCAACCATGTGGGGGGGGGGGCTGGCACACAGGGGGGTGAAGGTCAAAGATAGTGCGAGGCTCGGACGCTTTCGAGGTTCGAGGTTGGAGGTTTGCGGACCGTTTTCGCTGTTTCTCGGCGGCTTGCCAACATCTGGATGCCTTCCAGCGGCTGCGCCTCGCCGAGAGCGTTCCAGGGTTTCCTGGATCGTCCCGAACGGCTGCTGGAGTCCCGAAGTCTGATCCGAAACCATCAGGGAACAGGCAAAGGGAGGGCAAACATCGACCTGGAATCGGCGATACATCGCCCATAGATCGTCGACTTGCCCCTGCTGGCGAATCCGCCCGTGAGCAGGTTGGGACTATCAGGCCCCTGTCGGCGATCAGTGAGCGATTGGGGGTCGATGCGTCCCCGCCTGAGCGTGTCCCCCCACCGTTGCCCCTGATGGGGCCAGATCTCCGACGATGATTTGCTTGTCAGTCTGGAGGCTGCTCTGCGATTCTCAGACATCTTGCACATGTTTGGACGTTTTGGTCGGTTCCTGCCTCGGTGTGCGTCCCAGCAGCGGCGCATCGACGAGAGCATCCTGTGGGTGCCCGAATCGTCCCAATCGTTCCAATCGCCCGTCGGGGACCCGAGTGATGTCCCGAAAGCCGAGTGACCATTTGCCGCAAAGACCTTTGGTACGAGAGAAGTCGCGCTGGTGGTACTTCCTCGGAGCCACTGGGGCCCGTTATCGGGTCCGGGGACCATCAAAAATAGTTCTGGGATGAAAAACTCTTCCCAGGGAAGAGGTCGGGAACACTGGTGCCACGCATGGAAATTAGCCCGGCGAAAGACCCAATACCGCAAGGCAGGTGGGCCGAAAGAGGGGAAGCTCCCTTTGGGGGCCACGACACGCGTGAGGGATGTGCCGAGTTGGACACAGAGCAGGACCTGAAACACGCTGTAGGGGCGATCGAAATGGGCGTGGTCGGGCTTCCGAACTTTGCCATGTTGGCATTCTGTGGAGCTCCCAAGTCATGGGGCTTAATATTGCGCCAGTGGCCAGCGCAATGAGCGTGGTCAAGGCGAGCGACATTATGAACGCAGCCCACGACTGAATACGTTTTTTTTCAGTTCGGCCTTCTGTGGAGCCCCTTTGAGGCATGAGAAGAATGGAAGGGGCAAACGATGGTAATCTACTGCATGTGGACTTTTTTATATCGACCTTCTGTGGAGCTCTTGGGACGCTTGAAAAGCATGGCAGTGGCCAGCGAAATGAGCCCACGACTACATGGGGCCTTTTTCATGTCTGCCATCTGTGGAGCTCCTATGGGGCATGAAAAGCGTTGCCGGGGCGAGCCAAAGGAGCCAACAACTGCATGCGGACTTTGCCATGTCGGCCTTCTGTGCAGCTCATCTGGGGCTTGAATAGCATGGCAGGGGGCCTGCGACATGAGCCCACGACTGCATGGGGCATTTTCCATGTTGGCTTTCTGTGGAGCTCCTATAGGACATTGAAAGCGTTGCCGTGGCGAGCAACATGAGCCCACAACTGCATACGGACTTTTTCATGTTGGCCTTCTATAAAGCTCCAATGGAACTTAAAAAGCGGGGCAGGGGCCAGCGAAATGAGCCCACGACTGCATGGGGCCCTTGTCATGTTGCCGTTCTGTGAAGCTCCCATGGGGCTTGAAAAGCGTGGCATGGGTGTGCCAGGGCAGAGGCAGGAGGGAGGAGGGGGAGGAGGACCGGGAGGCCCAGGAGGAAACGCGGGACCCAACACCGCAGGATGCTTGGGAAAGGTCACATCGTCGGAGGTCTGGGGAGACATGGGGGAGCACACGGGGCCATCAGCACCTCTGTCAGTATTGCGTGGGGCAATGTCGAGGGAGCTGCAAGAAGGCAGGGGCCCGCTCTGCAGGAAAACTCAGGCCGGCCAGCGCCAGTTGAGGTTTGAGGCCCTGTCCTAGTATCCACTGGCCAAAGCCCGAGAAACACAGAGCGGCCAGAAACACCGCCCGAATTATCCACAACATCTCGATAAACGCAAAGCGCATGAATTACTGTCATGATCACATGCGCGGCGACGGGATGACAGCCTAAAGGAAAACGACACCTATCTTCGTCGACGTCGATCGCTGCAAGAGATTGCGTGCCCGCAAGACGCGGATCGCACGCGCTGCATATCGTAGCAGAAAGCTTGGCCCAACGAGCAGGCGGATCCAAGGAATCACATCAGAAAGGAGTGGGGCAACGTATGAGAATGGGGAAACCTGGGGGCGTCGTGAGGTGGAGAAGAGATCTGAGCTGACCAGCGGTCTGAAATCGGCACCGCGGCAAAATATACGACGGATTCCTGAGCTCGTGCACGAAAATGTACAACAGAAGATGTGAATTCGCCACCGGGAGCCATGCTGCTGGATTTGAAAATGCAGGAGCAGACAACGGGAGTCGTTGAATCCACGGCTCTACGTTCTCGGCCGAGACTACTGGCCTCCAAGTCACAGCTCCCCGGCATGGCAGCAATAGATTCGTCGTGCGGGCGTGGATTGCCATCTATTGGGGCAGCCGCCAGTGCGGAACTGTAAATACGGACGGCGTCAAGCTTATCAGCGCCATGCGTGCAGGAACGATCAAAGTAAAGAGCACAAGGTAAATGCCATCAACGAGGTAGAGAAAGGCAGAAGGATACAAAGACGGGAAAGCCAATCAAGGCGAATTGCCTTGGCAGGGAAGTCGTGGTCCAGCATTCTCGAGCAAAACTAAACGCTGCAAGTCATTTGCGGTAGTAAAGGATCCACCTGTCAGACCGATGCTGCGTGCAGCTGAGGAAGATGGATACAGTCAAGTGTGCGCTCTAGGGCATGAAAAGCCCAGGCCGCTCGCCGCGCCGCGAACGATGGGCGCCCACTCGACCAACGCAGTCGCTCTAATTCGGAGCAGGCAGGCTACAGCAACTGTCGCGGCGGCACAAGTCAACTACCTGTGGCGGCATCCGCTCGCCATCCAGAAAAAAATGCCCGACGCCTGCAGAAACCGAACCTGCATGCACGGACGGCGAGATACGCAGAGTCGAGACCTGACCCTTCCGAGCCGACGCTCTCACCTGCCGGGGCCCCGGCGCAAAGGGGCCCGCCGCGGCCGAGCCAGGATGCTCTCGCGACCTTGTGCAGAAGCTCGCTCCGCACGGGCGGCCCACCCGCTGTGAAGGCCAGATGGACCAGTGCCGCCGCGCACGTTCACGACTGCCACGAAGGTGGCGAACGCGACGGTGATGGCAGGACTCCGGTAGGCCTTCCTCTGCATCGGCGTCGGCGACCTGGCGAGCAGCACGCCCATGGGCTCGCCCACCTGCGTGCACCTGGGCAGCGGGTCGAGCTGCCCGCTGCCGCGTAGCTGCGCCTGGCGCCGCGTCCCTGGCCGGTCCCTCAGGCGGGCCACCGGCATCACAGCGAACCACCAATCCGTGGAGAGGAGCAGCGAGTACACGACCGCGCCGAGGCAGCCAATGGTGAGCACGACGCTGAAGAGGGCCTGCCACGCCTCGTGCTGCGAAGCACCGCCGTGGGCCTCCAGGATGGCCGTGCCCGCGAGGGGCACGCAAGTGGCGCCCGCGGAGGCGAAGGCGTTCCCGATGCCCATGATGAGGCCCGAAGCCTCCTGGGAGATCTCGGTGTAGCTGGCCTTGAAGCCGCCCGCGTGGCAGGCCTGCATCCCGGACGCGAGGGTCACCAGCATGGTGACGTGAAGCGGGTCGCGGGCCCGCCCCGCCATGTAGAGGCTCAACCCGGTGCCGACGAAGCCAGCCGTGGAGAAGGCGCGTCGGGTCGCCACGCGCGACAGCTTGCCCGAGTTCGCCACCGCGTCGGCCGCCTGCCCGGCGAGGACGGCGAAAAGGATGTCAGCCAAATTGGGCCACAACATGCGCGCGGCCGCCTCGGAGACGGGCATCCTCCAGGCCGCCGTGTAGTACGTTGTGATCCACGTGTACGTGAAGTACCGGTTGAAGTTGAACGCGGTGTTCGCCAGGAGCACCGACCAGGCCGCGGGGCTGGTCATGATGCTCGGAGGAAGGCCAACTGAGGCAACGGCGGCCGTCCCAGGGGTCCACACACAGACCTCTCCCAGGGGTCCATCCTGACCAACTTCTCGGGGCGGATCCAGCTTTGGCGACGAGAAGCCCCAGAAAACCCATGTCTCCCTCTTTCCCTCTCTCTCTCTCTCTCTCTTCCATTTTCCCAACACTCCTGTGGTGTTGGGTCCTCGTTTTGATGAGACGGCACCCCGCGTTCTCCTCCTTCTCCTCCTCCTCCGTCTCCTCCTCCTCCTCCTCCTCCTCCTCCTCCTCCTCCTCCTCCTCCTCCTCCTCCTCCCCCCACTTCAGCTTCCTCCTCCTGTGCGGCCTGCATCTCGGGAAGTCGATGATTCTGAATGGCACTGGGAGGCAGGCACGGAGCCTGTGGATATTCAAGCCGCTGCCGAGCACTGGTTCATGCATGCGGAGGACTATCTCTGCCAGCTGCACGACGTCTACGAGAGGCGACGGGGGCGCGCAGCTGGGCTCAGGCTCAAGCGGGTACCGCTGGCGCAGGAGTGGAGTCGGCAGTTCAAGGCACGATCCTCCCTGGAGTTCAGGCGGATGGCGTCCCTCACAGCAGCTGCTCGGCGAGCAGCGCAGCAGAAGGCCTACATGCTGGAGCGGGGCTGGGACAGGTTCTCGTGCCTCAACAGGCAGCTGCAGGTCATCGGGGGCTTCGTCATTGAGGATGGCTGGTGGCCGTCGCAAGGGGCCCTGGCGCAGATGACAGTCGCCAAGGTTGTCAAGGTGCTGCGGTCTGGCAGCGCTGGCGCAGCTGCTTACTTGCTGGAGGCGCTCGACAGCCACCTGCTGCAGCTGCGGCAGCGGGACACGCAGGCCAACCAGAGCGAGTGGAAGGCGTGGGCCTGTGCAGCTGCCCAGGAGAAGGGCGGCAGTGCGGCCTTCGGTTTCATTCGCGCTGGTCACCAAGTCCAGCCATCAGTCTTCGAGGTGCTGGACGAGGAGCAGGAGCAGGCCCTTCCGCTGGGTGGCGATGCTGCGATGGAGAAGCTCATGCTGCAGTGGGGCCCGCTGTGGCAGCACGAGCTGCGCGCAGATGAGCCTCACCCCTACACCTGGCGAGGCGCGGACTTCGACGCTGCGGAGCTGCCGAGGCTCACGCTGCAGAACCTGCGCGATGTGGTCGACGCCTACAGTGACAGGGCGGGCTTGGGCTGGGACAAGTTCCATCCCAGGCAGTTGCGGTGGATGCCGCAGAGCTACCAGTCGAGGTTCCTGGATGTGCTCCACGCGTGGGAGAGGGACCCGATCGACATGCCGCTCGTTCTCATGCTGATCTCCTTCCTGCCCAAGCCCCCGCCTGGGGGAGGAGTGCGCCCGATCGTGCTCAACTGCCTGTGGCTGAGGCTCTGGAGTCGACTGCGACAGCCGTTGGTAGCAGAGTGGGAGAGGCTCCTGGAGGGCGACTTCTACTGGGGAGGTCTAGGCAGGACGTGCGATCGAGCTGGGCACGTCCACAATTTGCTGGCAGCGTACTGTGTTCAGGTTGACGGCATGGCGGCTGGTACGGCTGCGCTGGACCTCAGCAAGTACTACGAGCACGTGTCGCACGACATACTGCTCAGGGAGGCGAAGGCGACGAAGTTCCCGCTGGCTCTCCTGAGGGCGCTCTGTTGTGCATACAGGCTTGGCCGCAGGGCGCAGTACCAGAACGCCCTCTCGGTCGTGGTGTTCGCGAATGGCACCATAGCGGCAGGATGCAGCTGCGCGCTGGGGCTCGCCAAGCTCATGGTCCACACGTTGCTGATGGAGCAAGCTCGGCGCTGTCCATGAGTGAGGGCCCAACCTCTTGTGGATGATCAACTATTGCAAGCGCTTGGCACTGCACGCCTGGTGGGCGAGCAACTTCCTGCTGCTCTTCGGTTTGTCGTGGACGGCCTCTCGGAGCGGAAGCTGCAGGTCAACTGGGACAAAACTGGGTGGCTGTCGGGCGACTCCGAGCTTGCGAGCATCCTCGGCGCGGCCTGGGAGGGCGAGCTCGAGCGCGCCCGAGGCCTCCGCTGCCTGGGAGGCGACGGCTCGTCTGGGGTGCTGCGCAGTGTGGTCGAGCAAAATAAGCGTCTTGCCAAAGCTCAGAAGTCTGCGGACCGGGTCCACACTCTGAGAGCTGCGGGCGCCAAGGTTGAGAAGGTCTTTCGGTGCTCTCCGACGGCTACTGCCATATGGGGTTCAGCGGTGACAGGAATCGCGGATGGGAAACTCAGCGGTCTGAGGGTGTCAGCCCTTAAGTCTGAGGGTCGGCTTCCTATGGGGGCCAGCGTAGGGCTCCGAATTAAAACAATGTACCGCGGGTCCTGGAGGGACCCCCTGCTTATTCACACGGGTGAAGCAGTTAAGGCTTGGACTGTCTGCTTGGAGACCTCTCTGCCGTCTGAAGGGATATTGGAGGCGGTGTTGGAGGGGGGTCGTTCCATTCTCAGGCAGAAGGCTCCATGGGGCAGGTGCACTAACCCTGCTCAGGCCCTCCAACTCGCCCTCGCTCGTGTTGGAGGAGGCATGGCCTCTGCCACCAAGCTGATTGGGCCCGAGGGGGAGGTGGATTTGAAGTTCTTCTCGCCAGGTCGGGCCGTCGAGATTGCCAGGCGCATGGCCTCGGTAGCTTCGGACATCCAGGCGCTGCAAAGGATCGGCTCTTGGGTTTCTGAGCTTCACTGGAGGCCCCTGGATAGGATTTTGCACGGCAAGGCTGAGAAAGGACTCTCTCGGCACGAGCGAAACCTTGTTCGCAGTCTGGTCTCGGGGACCCACTGGCCTCAGGCGAGGCTGGCGAAGCATAAAAAATCGGTGTCTGATAAGCGTCTTCTGTGTGGCTGCAGGGGCACGCTCTTCCATCGAGGGTTCGAGTGTCCCAGCTCGGCCGAGCTCCGCAGGACTGACCTGCCGTCTAGCCTTCGGCAGGCCGCTTGGAAAGTGGCGCGTCTTGGCGACGTCGAGGCTGAGATGTTTTCCAGGTGCTTGTTTCCCTCCCCCGAGCGCTGCTTTGGGAAGGCTGAGGCGCCCGAGGATAACTGGGTTCGGTTTGTCGGGGCCATGCCAGGATGGCGCTGGGGAGGGCCATTTTTGTAGACGGCTCAGCGTATCACACCAAGGTCGGAGCCTGCAGGAGAGCAGACTGGTCAGCGGTGCAAGTAGATGATGGAGGCAATGCGGTTGCCTGCATGTATGGGGTGGTGCCTCGGGGGTGGGGGCCTGACCAGTGGGCGCGGGACGGTGAAGATTATGCGTTTCACATGCTGGCCAGATTTAGTGAACCCCCATGTGATGGAGACTCTGGGGTGCCGCTTGAAGTCTTCAGTGGTTGTGCTGGTTCGGTTGCCTGCGCCACCTCCTCGTCCACCGCCCTGTCTCCCGACAACAGTCGCCGTCACATGTAGAGGCTGTGGTGGTCCAAAGTTGGCGGCGCAGCGCGAGTAGTGAAAGTCAAGTCTCACAGAGCTCTTCGAGAGGCGACCTCTCTCGAGGATTTGCGGGTGCTCAAGGGTAACAGGTTAGCCGATCAGTGGGCCAAAGCGGGAGCCCAGTTGTGGGCCATAGACGAAGAGCAGGAGCTGTTTGTCGAGGCCTGCGAGCGCAGAGTCTGTCAGGCCGCGGAGTGGCTTGGTAGATTGCACAGCTGGCTCCATGATAGAGGTTTCGCGGACTCGGAGGGGGTGGGGGGGACCTCGGAGGTGGTGCTTGATCTGTCAGGTCAGGCTGTCCCGCCTGATATCGCCAACGAGTATGACGCGCAGCTGGAGCTGCGGTCGCGGGAGCGGATCCTAGAGGCCGTGCCCGCGCGTCTCTATCCCGATAGCAGTCAGGGCTCGATTGGCTCTGGTTCCGCTGCTCTCGGCTCCTCCATTGGCTCCTCGGCTGCTCCTCCCGACCTGGTGCCCCACATCTCGGGGAAGGAGCGGGTGAGTTGCCAGACTTGGAAGTTTTCGAGGCACAATGTCGTGCAGGCCCCTGTAGTCGGAGATGTTTCAGGGGCCCCAGTTTTGTTCTGCATCTCGTGCGGCGCGAGTGTGCAGCACAGCCACAGGCCTGGCAAGGGCCTTGCGGGGCCATGTTTTGGGCCCAAGCACCCTGGTCGGGCGACCCAAAGGTCTAGGCTTCGCAGAGGCCTGCACCCTAATTCAACGGTGTCCCCTCCCCCGATGCTCGGCGACTGTGCTGAGCCTTCTGAGGAGGTCCGAGCGTTGTGGGAAGGGAGACTGGCGGTCCCTCAAGAGGCCTCGGAGCGGTGTTCCGACCCTGCCCCTGAGTACGGGTTGGTTTTCCCCGAGGCCCTTGATATGTATCGAGTTGCGCAGCTGCACGGCTTCAGCGACCCCCACGAGGCGGTTGTGTTTTGCCGAGCTGAGAGGCGTCTCGAAGAAGAGGCTCGGCTCCAGGCTGGCAGGAGTGATGAGCCCGAAGAGCCCGATTATTAAGTAATTGGGTCGCTGGATGCGCGAGATTTTCGTCTAAGGCCCTAATGCCCTAATGCCTCCTCCTCCTCCTCCTCCTCCTTCCACTATCCTCTCCTCCTCCCCCTCCTCCCTCCTCCCGAGCGCCCAGTGCAGAATTTCGTGGCCCCATAGGAAGCTCCACCGAAGGTCCCAGTGGCAGGGTTCGCATGGCGGCCCCGCCCCATTTCGACACACCCCTCACACGTTTTGTGGCCCCAAAGCGAGCTCCACCCAAGGCCCCCCCCGCCCCATTTCGGCACACCTCTCACACGCTTCATGGCACCATACGGAGTTCCACCCGAAGTCCCAGTGGCAGGGTTTGCATGGCGGCCCCGCCTCATTTCGGCGCACCCCTCAAATGTTTCGTGGCCCCATAGGGAGCTCCAACGAAGACCCCAGTGGCAGGGTTCGCATGGCGGCCCCGCCTCATTTCGACACACCCCTCACACGTTCCATGGCACCATAGGGAGCTCCACCGAAGGCCCCAATGGCAGGGTTCGCATGGCGGCCCCGCCCCATGCCGGCACACC